ATTCTGTTTTTGAGCACAATAACTTCTAAAAGGTCCCGTGGCCCTGAGCGTACTTCTCATTTTTGGTCATGATTTTTCTTTGAGAGAAAAAATCACACAGGCGTTTGGCAGGCTGCTTGCATACACAACGATGAACTCTCTAAAATTTAAATGTGGCAGAGTTAATAAGAGGCGCAACCTACAATTAATCAAATGGACAGACACGGACCTGCATGCATTGCCAACACCATTTTTAGTCGCAGTCATTGGGACCCCTGTCCACAGACATTCCTCCCCTCTCATCCCTCCGATCCGAAACAACCGCCGAACTAGTAGTACCACACAAGGACACAGATTTTCTTTTACTTAAATCTAGATTAGTTTTTCGGTATTGCCTAGCCTCATCCCTGCTTCTACCTATTGCCGCAAAAAAATTGTTCATATTTTATATTTTTGTCTCTTAATAGTAGAAATTAAATGTGTTTAAGTTTATCACAGAAGAGAAAAACACCCCTACAGACAAATTTTCATTGAAAAAGTTGGAGCTCTTCTGTAGAAAATTTTAAAGTGTGTCTGAAAATCCGCAATGTTGGACTCATTTTCCATACGTTTTCGAAAAACTTCTTTAAAAGTCATTTTGAACATTTGTGATCACACATCCAATTATTTGTAGCAAATGTCCATAATGTAAATATTAATGGCAACAAAGATATTTTAAAAAAATAGTACAGTTGTGTTATCTTTGAAATATCAAAATAATACATCAAAATAATTCAAAACACTTCATTATTTGCACAAACGTTTGAAGAAAAATTACAGCTACTTTCCTGAATAGGTTCCAAAACTCTTAATTGTATGGCTTGAAAAGTCTTTTAAACATTTTAGAATACGATACAATTATTTGATTCGGCTTCATCAAAATAGTTACTACAACGTGTACAAGTTTATAGTCGTGAATTTGAATGGTGTTGAAATATAATTTTAATGTTATAAACCTGTTTTTCTTTTTTGTATATTTGCGGTAATTGGCCTAACCTCATTAACCATTTCATGACAACACAGATAATACAATTGCATATTGGCCTTCCAATTACAGAAGAAAATCTCAGACACGAATCGTATATACGTGCGCTGTTTATGTGCCATAATCCAGGAAATATGCAATATTTATTATTATTTTAAAATATTATTATTAATTTAGTTAAAAGCAACAAGTATTCGCGAGACCTCTCAATAACCGGGATTTGTAAGCGCCATGCAGTATTTATCTTCAAGTTCGTCGTGCGAGGAAGCTCTTTGGTGAGGCGAGAAGCAAGTCAAGGTGGGAAGCTGGAAACCACATCAAGGTCTCAGGCGGATAGTAAACTCAGATAGACACTAACTTAATCAAAGACCTCTGAAAGTTTATCTCGGCCATATTACACTCTCGATAATCTGAACTCATGTCATTACATAGTAATTGAATAATGCGAACACACTCCATTGCATTGTAATTGAATAATGCGAACACACTCCTACAGCTTAAATAGAATATACATTTAGAAACAGAATAGGATAACGTGAGTTCCTTTTCATCCTTAAGTAACTTTCGCACGTAGCGAATGATATTGAAAACAATTTGTTCATTTTTATACTGCAAAATGATGAAATGTGGAACATTATTGCGAGAAGATTTTTCTCTGACGCCCCTTGTCGCAAATCAATACATAATAATATAATATATCTATAATAATAATAATAATAATAATAATAATAATAATAATAATAATATGCCTTTATTAACATGGTGAGGCTCGGGCCGTCAGGCCCGCTCTTCCACCTAACCACATGTACAAATTTACAGAGTAATGTAGTAAAAGTAATGTAATAATAGTAAAAGTACTAAAAAGTAATGTTATCTACAAAACATTAATGTAATATAATCTACAAGTGGTAAGTAACTAGTGGAAAGCAAATGTTATTTAAAGCAACTTTTAAATAGATAACATCAGAGGTTAAATGGATACAATGTCACAATCATATGTTTGAAATAATTTTAAAATTCAAGACTGAGATTGAAAACACAATTTGAATTAAATAGGATATTATGTTCTTTACATATCTATCGTAATATAAGAATAAAAATGCAAACCATTTCAGAAATATTGCGCATTTTGAGTGAAAAATGAAAAAAAAACTAATTAACAAAATAGCTTCAATGATTTTCATTGTAATCTCCATTCTTCCGTATATCAGCTTATCAATACTACGGCAAACTTTTTTTCCCGGCAGGACACCGTTGTTGTGCTGTCTCATTACACGGGTCACCTAATGAAAAACTTTCTTCATGATACCAAAATGTTTTCCACGGAGAGTTTGCTGACTCAAATATTGTATCTAGTCATCCATATCAACAATCGTTTTAAAAATCTTGGTTCCTTGTGTTTGGTCCCATTAATCAATTATTTTACGATTTGCTTTATTCTCTTGACTCAGACCCATATGACAACAACGTTTTTCCTTTTAAGATGTTTATTAATTATTCTGTGAATGTAAGTGGCAAACGTTCTGATCTCCTTAGTAATTTACTCACATGCTTTTCATCAGTCAACATAAAAATGTCATCTACAATAACCATTTTTACCTATCCTGTAAATGACAATAACATTCCAGGTAAGATGTTTCAGTTCACATTAGCCTAAAAATAAAACATTCATATAATTTCTTATCTTTTAGAGATGTTTAGTTAATAATGAATCGCACAAGGCAAATTGAGTCTTGTAGATGTTCTGTTTCCCACAAAGTCTAATGCCAGAAACACATGGGCGCACTTTAACGGACGTTAAAAATGCGTCCGTTGCAGAGTTTAAGGAAACGAATGGATTCTGGCAGAAAAGCGCGCTGCACGACGTCCGTTGTGCTCTGATTGTCTGCTTTGAGTACAACGTTCGTGAAAATACTGATGTTGTAACGTCCGTTAAGCAACGCTTGCGCGCCCATTGCCAAATTCACCTACGGCAGGCCATAGAGTTGATTTAAAGAGAAACCCGCTATTGCAGCCTTTAAACATCGTGTTGGGGTTCTACAATCGGTACCTTCTTTAGAGACACATCTCTTTATATATTAAGTCATCCAGAGTATGAGTATCGTCATGCAAGTATTCATAAAAAATATCTGTTATTGGTATGAACTAAGTTACTATGTAAAATTTTATTTGTCACTTTACTCTTATTTATTTTCGACCATTCAAAGTGTATGTAATTTCCGTTTATGCAAATAATAATTCCATTATACGAGTAGCAATTTATGTATTCATTACTCCAAGTGAAGGAAGTGCTTAATCTTTCGGTATCAAAACTATACAAAAAGTGCTTGAGCGAAGATCCATTCAGTTATTTTTACGTTCGTTAACTTCAATGAAGAACGTCCAGGCCAAATGTATAACGTATGGATGAAGTCGGAGAATGAGGTCACATACAGATAGAATGGGTTTCAGTCGACCTGTTTGCTTTGAGCGAAAGTGTTGTTTTTCGCAGTACAGAATCAAGCAAATTGACTATCTCGGTCGAATTGGATTTAACAGTCATGTTTTTTAAACACCACTTTCATTAAAACACCAAACGAGTCCTACGAATTTCAGAACATTAAGGAATTCTAGGAAAATTGGGGCTTTTAAATAGGGATTCTGAAAACCTGCTTGTGTAAGCGGATGGCATTAGAAGAGTGATTGATCATTCTGTGTTTCCAGCCGCTTCAACTGCTAATGTCATTAGTCCCATTCGAGAATGTTGTTAATAAGGGAAATGGTGGTGTTTTCCCCTGCTGGGTGGTGAGGTCCGACGCAGACCTACAAGTCGCCTTATGAGGCCTTCTCCATCTAGGTATTCCACTTTTCGAGGCACTTCCCCAGCCGGGTCAAGCTGTGGACTCCCGACTGGTCTCCCGACATGGGTGATAGATTGGTGCACGTCAGTGTGAATGACACTTTTTAAAAGCAGGACATAATATTAATATAGACAAATCTGAATACCTGGCAGTTGGTAAAAATAAAATAGAAGATATTCTTGTGGAAAATGGAGGAAAAATTAAAGGGGTAAACAAATATAAATCCTTGGTGTACTTTTTAACAATAAGGGAAATAGCCATGACGAAAGTGAGAGACGAATAAGCTTGGGGAGAAACGTGACACGAAGTATAAACTCTGTCTTATGGAACAAAACCATCAATAACACTACCAAAAGACGTCTTTACTCCTCGCCAGTTTAGAGTGTTACAACATACGGTTCAGAAGTTTGGGAGATTGATAAAAGAACAAAAGGGAAGCTACTGGTCCTTGAAATGTACTTCTGGCGTAGAAGTTGCTGTTATAGCAGACGTGACAGAATCAGGAACGACGACATAAGAAAGAAAATGGATGTAAAAAAATCTATCCTTGACGAAATAGAGAAAAAAACAAATCGTCTGGTACGGTCACGTTATGCGAATGACAGACGAAAGATGGCCAAAACGAGTCATGAAATGGGGGCCGACAGAAAGACAGAAGAGTAGAAAACCCAGACTTGCATGGCAGCAGGGAGTGCAAGAGGTTATGACGGCAAGAGAAATGTAAGATGATCTATGGTCAGATAGAGAGGCATGGGGACAGAGAGCGGAGAATCGACGTCAGCTGTAGAGCAAATCCCTACTATATGTAAGTGTGAATGAAAGTAATAGGTGAGGATAGTACAAGGAAGAGGATGGTCAGATTACGCGCGATCCTTGGCCCGTTGATTAGGGTATTACTCCGGTATTCACCTCGCTGATCGAAGAAACTACCGATTAAAGCAGTCGGCCGCTAGGATTCTCCAGAGAGTGGCTAAATTCGACCTATCTAACTAGCTAGTTTTCGAAAATCCTGCCATAATCAGGAGTGGAACGGTAGGAGCTCCCATCAGACGCACTGAAGTGACGCCAGTTTATGCTCTGAGTTACTTGAGCAGGTCAGGAAAGTGAGATAAGGCGACAATAATCAGAACGACAAAGCCAATTAATGGATTAAGAGCTTTTTATTACTACAGACTAATTACAAGCTAGTGTGTGTGGGGTGTCGTGGGGTGTCATGGCGTAGCGAGGGTCTTAGGCGGTGGTGGCGACGGGCGCAACGGGAATATGGGAGCCTTCGGGGCGGAAGCCGCCCTCGTCAGCGACGTAGGTGACCTTGATGAGCTCGCCCTCGGGGGAGGTGTACTGGTAGGAGCCCTGCTTCACCAGCACGTGGTCCTTGTGGTCGGCGGTGGGCTTCAGGGCGCCCTGCTCGCTCACGGAGGTGCCGTCACCAGACAGGTATCTGCAAAGCAAAGAGTAAACATTTATGAGTGGACTCGAACAGGTATCGCGGGTTTAGAATGATACGTTTTTAACTAGACTTAGAGGAAGTGTTACAGTGTTCTGAAAATGTTGAGGTATCCAAGAACGAATACAAAATATGTTGTTGTGCTTATAGGAGGTGGTCTTAAAGTGTAATTTTAAATATATTTTAATGTTTTAGCTACATAAAATAGAGAATCCGGACATAACAAAACTTATTTTTTGGAAAAATGTCATAGATGTTATCATTTTTATGTCCACGCTATATGGGTAGTTGGCTATGTCGACTGTGAGGAGTAGTTTTCTATACATTTAACCTTGTTTTGAGATTAATTTTTCATCAATATAGAAATTATTATGCTGAGTGAATTAACCGTATATAAAATATGCCAATACAGATCGTTCAATTGGCGTCTGTTTTCTGCCACTCAGTAATATTTAGAGTTCGTACATGGAGACAGATTTCGGAAATTGATTTTCCAATAATAAATATGAATCAGCAGTTTTTGATACCCAATCACGTGGACTTGCGAAACGTGACATCGGACTTTTTTGTTTGCTCCTATACCAGTATGGGAATACATTAATAGCAAATAATACTCACGAGAGGAAGAACTGTGCAAGTGAAACAATCTTGCGATGATAAATGAATCAGAAAGAACGAAAACGTTCTATGCCCAGGAGCTTCAAATTTTGAAGAGCAAGCAAAAAGGTTGAATGTTCCGGTAATCGAACATTTTTCCAAGCATTAACAGTTGAAGGACACTACACACCCCACAGAGAAGGAACTTTTATCCATGGAAAGTTGTATTTATATTTTAAGAATAGTTTCCCACCGTTAACTGGTAACCGGCAAAACGTGACATCGGTCATACATAAAATGTAGGCTTTCACGGCCGGTTTCTACATAATAATTAGTTGTTTCCGGGTTTGTAGGCCGTGGTCCAACGGAGACTGGTCCAAACGTGTCGCCTGCAACTGTGGTAGGCATCATCAGTAGTGTTGCTGGCGGGGGCGAAGTGTCCTTCTTGACAGCTGGTCATGCTTCTCAGCAGTGCTGCCAAGAAGGACACTTCACCCCGCCAGCAACGCCACTGGCGATGCCTGCCACAGTTGCAGGCGAAACGTTTGGCCCAGTCTCCGTTGGACCACGGCCTACAAACCCGGAAACAACTAATTATTACATCGGACCTTTTTGTTTGCTCCGATTCCAACATGGGAGTGTACCAATAGGGAGTAATACTCACGAGAGGGAGAACTGGCCCACGTCGTCGCGGACGTCGGTGCGCTGCAGCACGGGGATGACGCCGGGGCGCAGCTCGGCGTCGGGGCGCGGCAGGGCCACGGCCACGGCTGCGCACAGGGCGACGACCAGGATCATCTGCGCACGCGCAGCGGAACGCGTTCGAGTCAGAATTCGTTGTTTTTTTATATAGATTGATTGACTGATTGTTGATACCGGAAGCATCAACTACTCGGGTCATTAGTCCCGTAAATGTAGTGTATGTTTTTGTTATGGAGTTGCCGGTGATTTCCCCCCGCTGAATGATGAGATCCGGTTTCGACCTACCGTCGGCTAGCGAGGTTTTCCCAAGCAGGTATCTCCCACCAGCGAGTATATAGTATACCCGCCATAAGCCGGGACAAGCTCTAACTTCCCAATTCGTCTTCCGGTATCCGTGGTAGTCCTTCTAAGTGTAAGCGTGTGTAGGTAAGAGGTGAGGATAGGACAAGGAATGGGAAGGAAAGATTGCACGTGGTCCGTACCTTGTTTAATTAGGGTACTGCTCCGGCATTCGCCTGGTGTGTATCGGAGAAACCACGAAAATCTACCGATCAGAGCAACCAGCCGCTATAATTCTCCTCTAAAGTATTCATTATTCCTAGGCGGGTTAACCCATGAGGTCATTAGTCCAGTAAATCTGGTACATGTTACATCCGGAGACATGGCTGTGTTTGTCTTTTGCTGGGAAGTGAAATCTGCCGGCGACTTACAGATCAGCTTCAATGGAATTTTCTCGCACTTCACCAGACGGGACCCGTCCTAAGGAAAGACCGTGCGTAGATGTGGTCATTTCATTACTGGTACTGATCCAGCATTTTCTGGGAACTTTTTGAAAAAAAATGCTAAAGTGTATATCAAAGCAACCGTCCGATGAAATTCTCTGTCAAACAAGAACTGAATTCGTCCCAGCGAAACCACTTGTGTGAAAAATCTTTCATTGTTCGAACTTGAACCCCAGGACTTCCCAATGAACAAAAATCCCTTGCAAGTTAAACATAATAAGCTATTGAAAAACATAGAGCACCTTGGAATGTCTCCGAAACTCCAGTCCTTAAAGAACTCAAAATATCTACAATAGACGCACATTTTTGAAATGTATCCCAACGATTGCTCTCCACAAGCTTTTTCATACACCACTGTTCAAATCCCCTAAAAAAATGTAAGTTACTTTTCGCCATACTCTTCCATTATAAACGACACGCTGATGAAAACAATAACCTGATGAAAACCACAACATAAACGGCCAAACAAAAAAAACTCGACCAAAAAACGAATACGGTTTAATCTATATCTCCCGGTACATAATCAATGTGATACGTACTCTACATTTCAAACCCGGAAAAAGCATGTTTTTTTATATTCCTGCTTAACACGTTGAACAGGAAGATAAAAAAGGATCACCTGTGCCCACGTGGAAGCCCGAATCTGCAACATTCACCCATTTCCTTGTTTCCCGAACAAATAAATTGCCTTGTTTAATAGGCGCGCCAGCTGACGCAGATAATTTCTACAAACCCTAACGGCGAGGCAGTCACAGTTCTGACGTTGAATCCAGCGTACAGCATAGAGAGATTTAAATGAGTCAGCTGTGAGATGGCCTTGAGAATGAATACGAATGACTGGCAATCACGTAAACTAGCAGCCAGAGAATTGCAACTACCTAATAGTAGGAACGTTGTGGATAAACGTTTCTTTATTATTCGAAGCGAATGAGTGTTATGAAATGTATTGATTCCAATGAAATTGAAAATTTTAATTACCTTGGCAACAGAGGAATTTTATCTGCGGCGAACAAAAGAGTGTCATGTGAAAAAAAGTGAATTTGCAGTTACAGCATAATGATTGACATTAAATTAGAATTTACCTGGAACTCACAGAAACATAGTGAAACGAATAAAAACATGTTTACTGCTTAAAAACATAAAATTTCCATGTGTTTCTGAAACTGCACTTTTGTAATGTAAAGTGGTTTTCACTTTCATATCACTCCCTTGATTCACTGACACATTATTGCTTTGGAAACGGATAAACCATTGAAAACTTTTCAAATAACTATTAAAGTATTTTTAAAATAATTGCAATTAAAATCTGTTTTTAAAATATTTGAAAAAACGATTAGCAACATACTACGAGTTAGAATATTACATCTAATTCCCCAAAATACTAGAAATAAAATTATGTATTAGTTGAAGCTTTAACAGAAAAAATATATATTAATTTGCATATTGATAATTAATTTCCTCTACAATGAATGTTTCACTAATATCATAGCTCTCTTTAGAATAGTTACTAAAAAAACCTTCTTTATGAAGAAGGAACATGAAGCTAATGAACTAGGAGGATAAATCAGCATGACTTCATTTCCCGACACGCGACGTATGAACAACGGCTTGCCCATCCCGTGCGTGCGTACTTACCTCTGAAAATTTATTATTGAATCAATACATAATTCAGTGTCAAACAGCCATTTGGCCTTTCACGAGGAAGTCAACAAAGTAAATAATCTACACGAGAACAGTAACAGTGTCACTTACAGCACGCCGCCCATTACTCTTTGAAGAGCAAGTCCGTTATCGATCAGCGCCTGAGGGCAGAGGAGACTGCCACTTAAAGAGTACATCCTACGGCATTCACAACACTACTGCATACATAACTATCGGGTTTTGTTACATTATCTGGATGGTATTATTTTCGAGGATGCTAGTTTTTATTTTGTGCAGAGGAGACTGCTACTTAAAGAGTATATCCTACGGCATTCACAACACTACTGCATACATGACTATCGGGCTTAATACATTATCTGAAAGATATTATTTTTGAGGATGCTAGTTTTTATATTGTGCAGATTTTCACGTAATATATTTGCTGTTTACTTTGTGGAAAAAATATTAGAAAATGATATTAAATCCGCTGGTTGCTTGGTTAAAATAACACTGTTCATCAGTTAATTTGCACTGGTCAGTGAATAGAACACAAAGGCTTTCCCGAGTTTTACGTTCACTCGGCGTTATCACTACATTTTATATATTGCTATATTCATTAGTGTATTGAATGTATTAATTGTAGACTTGGCGTATGTCTCTCTTCCTTCATCATTGTTCTCTCTGTTTTCCTTCTGATTCCGGCGCAATTCAAATTTCTCCTTTACTCATCCAAGTGTAAAATTGAACGCTCTCAACTTTGTTGAAGTTAGACGGTAATAGTCCCTTTTCGCTCAGTAGAGAAGCAACGGCATAACTTAGAATTAATACCAAATGAAGTCATTAATTTTGTATTTATTCAATTGCAAAGCAATTGAATTCTTCACATCACAGGAATAATGACATTTTCACAAAACCTTCCATCACTTCTAAACCTTTCATTTTATATTATAGATCTGTAATGAATTAACAATCCAATAGTATCATATTGAGATAAAATTCCAACAATTAAAAGACACGTTTAGCACTGAGTTCATAAAATTTAAAATTCCTGTTCACATTGTAACTTATTTTGTACTTGAATACATTATATGTGCATACAAAAGGCAATAAAAACAAAATTCTAGAATTTATAGGAAAAATAAATTGTATTCATGTATTTATGCCCATAAATAAAGCCTAATTGTGTTATTGTGCCATGAGAACAGTTTGTTGTTCATGAAATACTTTAACAACAAAAATTTTGTAAACTTCGAAACAAAAACCGGTAGGCACCCGAAATGTTGAACACTAATCAACTTGAATTCTTGAGAAGACATACGTAAGGAGAATCAATCGGCTAGCAGAACACTTTATTACTAAAACTAATTGAAATCATAAGAATTAAACCCTTTGGACAATGAAATTCTCCATATTCATTAAGCCCGTCGAATTGTTATAAACAATGCCAGTTCTTCATATAAAGAAGAATTCAGGGAACCATTGAAATCTAAATGTTTCATAAAACCTTTCCCAAGAAATATACAGATCTTCCCTTTTAGTATAAACAGATAATTATTTCATCACTTACTACGATTTCGTAGACCCAAAAGACACTTTTAATTAAAACAAGAGTTAGTTGCGTTACGTTCGATTTTAAATAGCCGAAGTAGATAAACTGTTATTTATCGCGTCTGATTCTGTACACAAAATTCCTATACCCAAAATTCTGTTCATAAAATTTGAATATGATGAGAATTGCTTACAAGAGTTCTCAGTTTCGATAAGTTTGACTTTAAATACGCAAAGTATATAAAGTGTTATTTTTCGCAACTTATTCTCTCTTCAAAATTCCTCTACCCAAAATTCTCAACATAAAATTTGAATATGATGAGAATTATTAACAACAGGGCATGTTCTGAGTTTCGATAAGTTTGACTTTAAATATCCAAATAATATAAAGTCTTATTCTTCGCGCCTTATTCTCTATTCAAAATTCCTCTACCCAAAATTGTCAAATAAAATTTTAAGATGATGAGAATTGTTAACAACAGGACATGTTCTCAGTTTCGATAAGTTTGACTTTAAATATTCAAAGGATATAAAGTGTTATTTTTCGCAAGTTATTCTCTCTTCAAAATTCCTCTACCCAAAATTCCCAACTCAAAATTTGAATCTGAAAAGAGTTGTTAACACTCGGCCGTAATTTGACTTTACATATCCAAAGTAGATACAGTATTTTTTTATCGCGCCCGAACCTCTAAACGAAGTCCCGGAGTCGCCGCGCATTGCCGCCGTTGGCGGCGGTGCGCTGCAGTCGCTTACCGAGTTCATGTTGTGGCTGTGGGGCGGATGGCGGAGCTGCAAACAGACGACTGGTGCTGCTGGGGCGGTGTGCTTGTGGCCGAGGGGCGCGCGCTTATATACGCGCCGCACGGCCGGCGCGCCGCCCCCGGGGAGAAAGCCAAGGCCGCGGGCCACACACAATATTTGGAAACGACCCGCTCATGCACCGACACCTTATTTACGCGTCTACCCCGACGACGGCTACTATCACCAGGAAGATGTGCGTTTCTGTCTTCCGCAAACGACGAACACTTGACGCTCAGAGTTACACACGTTTTCTTCGTATTTAGACGAAAACTGTTCGTGCAAATTTGTGGGGATATGTATGAAGTTTTCGACTATTCTAAGATACTGCTTAGCGATTACTAAAAAAATAATTTTACACCTTTTAATTTCCTTAATTACCTTTCTTATCTTAGTACAACGACAGCTTTTCAGAAAATTTTTTGTTAAGAAAAAATATTTTCATTGCTTATACTAATACTTTCTTTATTCCGCAAACGACGAACACTTTACGCTCAAAGTTACACCCGTTTTCTTAGTATTTAGACGAAAACTGTTCGTGCAAATTTGTGGGGATATGTATGAAGTTATCGACTATTCTAAGACACTGATTAACGATTCCTAAAAATTGAATTCTGGGCATTTAAATTTACTTAACTATCTTTCTTCTCTTGGTTCAACAATACTTTTTCAGAGGTTTCTTAAGAAAATAAAATATTTCCATTGCTTATACTAATGTTTTCTTCCGTAAAGGACGAACACTTTACGCTCAAAGTTACACCCGTATTCGTAGTATTTAGACACAAAAACTATTCGTGAAAACTTGTGGGGTATGTACGAAATCTTCGACTCTTCTAAGATACTGATTCACGATTATTAAAAATTTAATTATGGGCATTTAAATTTACTTAACAACCTTTTTCCCCCGCAGTTCAACAATAGCTTTTCAGAGGCTTGTTAAGAAAATCAAATATTTCCATTGTTTATACTAATACTTTTTTCTTGCGTAAAAGACGCAAAGACGCAAATATTTACGGTCAAAATTACACCTATTTTCTTCATATTTAGACGAAAACTGTTCTTGTAAACTTGCAGTATATGTATAAATTGTTTGAATTTTCTAAGATACTACTGAATGATTACTAAAAATTTAACTCTGGGAATTGAAATTTCTTTAACTACCTTTCTTCTCTTAGTTCAACAGCAGCTTTTCAGAGACTTATTATAAAAATAGAATATTTACTTCGCTTATACTAAGGAAAAATAAAATTACATTACTAATTTACTATGCATTCCTGTATTGCCACTGCGACACTCTACGTATCACTTACCGATAAATTTTATTAAGTCTTTCTACTCGTATATGACTACAGAGAGTATATATATATGACTATGTGTATGTGTGTGACTATGTGTATGACTATGTGTATGTGACATATATATGACTATGTGTATGTATATGTATGACTATGTGAACAATGTCGTCAAAATCAATCGTCCCTTATCCAACGTACGTTCTTTTAGTTTAAAAAATATACATTTTTTTTTTTACTTTGCTGTTCATCTAATTAGTTAGGTCTTTCGATACTTACGGTGTATATTGCAATTAAAGTGTGCCCGATAAACAAGTGAGCATTATTACATTAAATGTTTTATTGTGTATCATAGTATTGTGTACACTAAAACTAAGAAGTGTCATTTTCAGACATGCTGACACGGTGATTGTAAAATACATAAGCCTGTACTGTGCTGCTTGGGAAAATAAAGAGTTTTCATTCTTTAATGCATCATTTAAGGTCTATCCTCACACACAAATGCTTGAAATAATTGATTTAACTATTACTTGAAGCAACAGAAACGCTTTGCCTCTTACTAATTTGATTTATGTATTGTCAAAACCAGTAAAACATGACAGATGGTCATGCATAAACTTTGCTCTAATCTGTAATTTACTATCTAATCAGTCGCTACAACTAAACTATAATATGTAATCTACTATGTAGTGTGGTGGGTGGGGGAGAAAATACATATAATTTAGCGAGAAGTGGAGTGCGGGCGTACATGCACATTCAGCAACATCCATGTGTCACTCATTAAACTTTAGTGAGAGACATTATTTTATATAAATTCTTCCCTCCCAAATATTAATTTAATATTGCTTAAAGTATGATATAAAATTTATCTAAATTTGTTTCTTTATTAAGTATCATAATAAAACTACAATGTAGTTCAATACTTGAAATAGTCGCTAATAACCAAGTTGTTGATGCAATTATAAAAAAAATTGATTTGAAAAATGTTGAGTACAGTTCTGTCATATTATTGGAAATGGTAATTATGTAATATTGTACTGGTAAATAATTAAGCAGTTACACAGAAATGGGAGAGGGGTGTGAAAACAATATTGACACGTTTCTTCTTATTTTTTCTCTCATATTTTGAAGGAATCTTAGTAATGGTTTCAAAAGCTTACTTTCATTTCGGACCCTCTCAGTCTGCTCGTTAGTGAGGACCGGAATAAACTGGCTAAGGAATTCTAAAGGAAAAAAACAGGAATTCTAAAGGACTTCTTAGCAACTCGAAAAAAATTGAACAAAGCACGAGACATTCCCAGTTTAACAATTTGAATAAATGTTTGTCGAATATCTCAAATAAAATTCTGAATCACTCATAAATGGTCGACTTGGAAAATGGTCAAAAGTTCTCATCAGACATCCCAGACACTAGACTGAATAAATGAAGATTTGGATCCCAAAACGCAATCATTCGCAAAACCCGATTATTTTATTTTCATTTTTTATTTATTGGTTATCATTATTTATAATTCATAGATGCATCTAATCAGATATAAATACTTTCCGAAAAGTGATTATATTGAGTCAAAGAGCGTATTCAGGCACAAAATATTATATTTTTTCTAAACCGAGCTTAGTCATTTATTTAAAGATACAAAAAATGCCTCTGCATAAATCGTGATTGACTCAGAATATTTTGTAATCAACCTCTTCATATTACAATGGAGTTTATATTGCTGGAAAATATCTGAAACCTATTTAATCACAACTTCTTAGGAAACAATCACTTGTTATGGGTCGTTTTGAATATTCTTGCCGGTCTTCTCAGAAGATTGGTTTTGAACCTTAAGATGCTCATCCGTTTAAGGCTAAATATCCCGACACTAGTACAATTTGTGGCCACCACGTGGCAGCACCAAAATAAGTAAA